TCCAATACGTGGTTGCGGCAGCTTGTTGATCCCTTCCGAGGCGTGCAGATCCTGAGGGTCCACATCTCCAACGAGGAGGACATGCACTTCCTGCACACGCTGGAGGTGAGTGAGGACGACTTCCAGGCCCTGAAGGCCGAGCATTGCATCCATGTGGATTTTTCCAACTTCCCGGGAAAAATAATTGACCTGCTGGGCAAGTGCATCGAGTCTCAGGGTGAAGCCCTCCCAAGGTAACGTTCCCGGTCCATGAGTATGGCAATTTGCACCACAAAGCGAATTTCTTGCATGCATGTGGCCACACATATTGAGGTCTGGAAGCTGATCTTGTAATTGTTCTGTCTGTTTCATGCTTTTTATTTGGGTCTATTTTGCAGTTCTGTGGGCAATTCAGTGTGAAAGGAACCCATGCAGTCCCTGATTTCCTAACTTGATGCTGGGAACACTGCATTACATCCACTCTGTGGACTCCACAGACCTGTGTCGATGTTTGCTGTATCAAATTTTTGGCAAATGGAAACACCCACATCAGCTGCGCCTGCACATGGCAGAAAAAGGGCCATTAGATGTTGAAGGCGACAGTGGGCAACCACACAGCATAACTAGGCAACCAGAACTGTCGTTGCTTCAAGCCAGTAGTTTGCTGCTCCAGTTTTGATCACATACTCTATTCTTGCAGGTGCTCTGATGTGGGGCACATGCAGCCACAGCCTTGTCGAATTGAGTGAAAGCATCTCCATGTGCGTTGTGTTTTGTTGTGCTGATGGGCGTTTGGCGCACCTACTGGGATCACTATAGAGTGGGTTTGCTCTTCAGGTATCAGTCCATTCTGACAATGTCTGGTGGGGAGTCGAAGCTACAGATAGTTGAAACAAATGATTTCCGCAAAGTTTCTCATGTCACCCTGAACTTCCGCCCTGGCGATGATTTGACCGTCAAGCAGGTAATTGGACCTGACACATGGCATCCTGGATCCACAAGTTCAGTGCACAGGCATTTGGGTTCTTGAAACTGACTTGGCGACTTTGAGCATTTTCTGATGCGCATGTGATTGCATTTCGCCATGGACAATAGCTGCCATCATGCATACCAAAAATGTGAATGTATGAATACGTTCCACGGGATCACTCTTCCATTGGAAGTCTGTAATAATGCTGATCGATCAACAACCCGCACACCTATCTGTCCTTTGTGTAGGTGACATACCAAACCCCAATATTGCAATCGAATATGTCAGGCTTGTAATTTATAGATCTGAAGTATTGTCCAGAGACCTCTTCTTCATTGCCAAATCATTGTAACTGAATTACCGCCCATAGGCCTCTTATTGGCCCACACCATTTGTTGAAGGAGTGATGCAAAAACATGGGACATTGGAGTGTTTGGCTCACTTTGCCTCTGGCTTTTCAGTTTCTGGCCTTCAACTTCTGTGAATTGAAAGAGATCTGCGGTAAGCTGGAGAAAGAGCTCAAGGACTCAAAGGTAACGAGAGTTCTGGCAAGCATGCGTTATGGCTTTATAGACAATGCAAAGGGAATCGTTTGTTCGCTGCCGTAGGGCATGTGAGCAGTCCATTGTACCCTCTTTGCGTGCTTTTTGAGGCCAAAACATCTGATTTTGTGAATGGAAGGATCGAGGAGAGTGGTCAGTTGCAGTGCCGACTGTAGATTGCCTTTATGCTTGTCATGTTTATTGCACCATCAAGGTCTTCTGTGCACGTCTCTGTCCTTGCGTGTCTGCTCTGCCCATTGCACTGCCAATGCTCACAACCCCAAGGTTTATGAGTGAACAAAATTTGTTAGTTGAGTTGAAATTAATGAACCACTGGGCATCTTGTACAGGTTTTCTCCCCTGTGCCTCTCATGAAACTTGCTTGCCAATGCCTAGACTTTTTGGCGGACATCATTGCGTGCATTTGCACAGCTGTGTGTAATTCATGTACAAGTTCATGATAGATTCATGTATCTGTTGTTTGTTGCTGTGTTCCTGCTTGCACTCGTTTTGAAGCCTATCGATGCCTTGTAGAGAGATGGCCAGGTGCTGCAGGGCAGGATGGGTCAGGCACGGAGCACCCTGGAAGACGCTGGATACAGCCACAGGCAGCAGACGATGGAGGCCAGGGCCAACTTGAAAGCTACCCATGCTGCTGGCCTGGAGGGGAGCTCATGGGAGAGATACTTGCCCAGGGACCATACGGACAGGTCAGTTGCCAGTTGTCTGTGCACAGGTTGATGGGTGGGTCGAGATGGGGTGGGACGGGGTTTGGAAAAATGTGCTTGAATTACTTGATAGTGCACAGGTCATTTCTATCTTATTGATGCCCTCACTTCCCTGATGCAGGGAACAAGCAGCCAGAGAGGGCAGTGTGACAAGACCCCATCTTGCACACAATTGTCACTTTTTATGGACATTGGTGAACTATGCACACTGTCCCACATCGACCCAGTGATGTCTAACCGCTTTGTGCTAACACAATCTCCAACAGATATTGAGTATTTCATTCTGTGCCACTGTCTGCGTTTCTGCCAACAAAAAGATTGCACCGCACAAAGCACATCACACATGTGACAGATAGAGGAAATGGCTCTGTCACGGAACAAAATCTATCGCCTCTTCCTGTGGGCACTGTTCAGATGGCTGGCCCATGCTGGCATCGGACACAATTCTTTGTTGATGACGCTGATCAGTATGTGGCCAGTGACTGCCCTTTTGCCAATAAGTCGATATCTACTGGGACAGTGTGTGACTGAAATTTAGCGGCGCTCTATTTTACGTGCTGCAGGGAGCGCGGGCAACTAGATCAACACCTTCGAGAAGAGCTGGAAGCGCTGAGGGCATGCAATAAAAGGCTGGAAGCTGAAAATAGGGAATTGCTGGCTGTCAAACAAGATGTCAGTTCCAAGGTGTGGCTGTGTGACTGAACTGAACTGGACTGAAATCCCTTACATTGTGCATCAAGTGGAGCAACAAATGGTTAAGCCATTGCACAGTTGACATATCCGTGTGTGAACAGAGCAATGCTGTACAAAGGCAGGCTGTCAAATTTTGCCAGCCCCAAATCCCTATCATAAAAAGGTTTCCTATACTCCATGGATGAAAAAGCAATCAGAAACTCCAGCTTTGTATGATTCAACCAAGAACTCCATCGTCTCCACAAAGTGTTTTAATCGCCTCAGCAGGACGATGTGCAGGGATTTCCAAAAGGATAGTGAAGAAACAGCTGACATGCATCCCATTGTTCAGCGCAGACACAATGGACGGTTGCGCATTTTGAGGTTCGTGTTCCCAAACCCAGCTGCTGACAATCGTTGTCTAAAGAATTAGCCTATTCGTATTTGCGTATGGCTTAGAAAGCTCACAGAAGGTGCCCTTTACAAATGCATGTTGTCACGATTGCTTTCGGCTTGATCGTTGTGCCCTTGATTAGCACAGGGTAGAATTGCCCTGTGATGCGCACGACATGTTCCTTCGACTGTGTCAACCCCAATCTGTCCAATATCGTTTCACTGGTCAGAGGAAAATCGCATGGTGTCCCAAACATACCAGCGCATGTGGCTTCTATATTCTGAATTTCAATATCAACTTGTTACCAGAGTATTGCCTGGCATATTTCGTTGGACCCCTGCCCATAATGGTACACATAAATCTGTGCATTCTGCAGGTTCCGCCCACCACTTGCCTTGTGGAAGGAAAGAGAGGAAAACAATGAAACAGAACAAAGAGAAGCATGAGCAGGACATACTCAACACCAATGCCTAGTTTTTCACATGCAAAAGTGAAGATTGTATTGCTGTATGTGGGTGTGACTAATTATCTGTGCCTTGAACCCAGGTGTCAGAGCACTGCATCCCAGTTGCGCACAGGGAACGCATCTTGCTGCAAGCGGACCGTGACAAGCTGAGGGACCAGAGCCACCAGCTGAGCAGCGAGAAGCGCAATCTGGAGCTGAAAATGTCCGATGCCAAAGTCTCCACAAGGGGTCTGAAGGAACGGGTGGGTGCATCTGCAGAAAGTGTCTAGCGAGTCCCGCAGGGGTTGCTTTTGCTTTGGCAGGGCGAAACAAAGCCCTTGCACCATGATGGCTGTGCCAAGTATTGAGGGTTTGTTTGACATTGCATGCTGGTCTCAAGGTGGAGGGGTGTGGTGTCATGCAGTTAGCCGGACACATGGATTCGTTTGCTGAGTACAAGGCACAGATCGACAGCCTGGAGTCTGCAAAGGTGCAGCTGGAGGTCCGGGTTGAAGAGCTGAAACAGAGCCTAGCGAAGGCTGAGGAGAAGGCAAAGGAACTCGCAAATGGAAAGAAGGAGTCGGATGAGATTATAGAGAAGTTTATGGTAGGCAGGGAGACTTCTTGGTAAACAGACCATTTTGTCATGTGTTGTTCTTGTTTTCGGAGCTGTCAGGCTCACTCCATCTGCTAAAGGTGATCTCTGCAGTTGCCTTGTTTGGTGATCCACTTTGCTGTATCCAGTGGCAGTGCTACCACACTTCCATTGGCTACATTTTCGAAAATGGAAGTTGCTCCTTTGGCTCAAGCCAAAGGATAGATAGTTTCATTTGTGGCTTGCCCCAGCTTGCTGAGTTCGGTGAATATGGGCGAGTGGATAATGGCTTCACTTGTTGGCAATGTCATTGAATATCTATCTGAGTATGATATGCATGCAGCTAAACGATTGAGTATCATGTGGGAACTTGCCAGTGAATAGGACCACCTTGGCACTGGCAATGAAGGAATGCAAAAGCTGAAGTGAGCGAACTGCATGTGATCGACATCGAAAACCCGAATGGAGTGTCTCTGCCCTCTACATATTCTCATTGATGACAATGACAATGAACAATGGCACCCTAAGTTATGGAAATTGTGTAGGGGATGCACACAGCCATGAATTGTATGTTTGCTGAAAAATGGGGGCAACAATAAGTGAAAATCGCATTGTGGGTCTCAGTCTGCACTTTGCTCGTGTATTCGTTGATATGGCATCTTGGGGTGCCTGTTTCATGTGCCTGGGGAGTGCATTCCCATGACAGGATGGGCGCTTGCCGGCACAACATGGCAGCTGCTTTCATTGAAACAGGAACAATTCCAGCTCTTTCACTCAGTAAACAATGCTGGGCATAGTGCACAATTGAACATGTTTGCCCCCGAATTGTTGTCCATCACTTGTGCATCTCATGTAACCATACCATTTTGCTCACAATACCCTGGGCTTTGTGTATCTGAAAGGACTGGATCACATGCAATTGAGCGGAAGTGTTAGTGCGGGGTGGCACCTGGATGTTTGAGCGGTCTGCCGGGTGTTGCAGAGAGACCTTCACGAAGCGAGGGAGAGGACAAGAAAGATTTCTGCCCAGCACATGAGACAGGAGGACATCATCGTTCAGCTGCGCAGCCAAGTGCAGGAAGCCACCAGGGAGAAGGAGCAGGCACAGAACGAATGTGACAAGGCTCTGGGGGAGCTGTCACAGCTCGAGTCTGGCAACATGGCCCTGAAAGACCAGTTGGAACAGTGCCAGAAGAAGCTGCAAGAAACCAACAACACGCTGTACTGGTTACAGAGTCAGGTGCGTCTGTTATGGTGGAGGGAAGTGCGCAACAATGCTGCGGACCCCTGCACTTGTTCGTTGTGCAATTGTGGCTTTTCTTGAGATGGGCGAAGGCCGCAGTAACCTGCCAGTCCTTGTGAGATGCGACAACTTGAGACAATATGTGTCCCTGCCATTGTGCACTTTTCCGTAACCACCTTTGCACTGAGCCGCTCAGTTGCAGCATTCCCAACCTCTTTTGCCTTGGCAAGGTTGCTTGCTGCAGGGCATCAAAGGAACTCGGCTTGCAGTGCCATTACTTGAGGCCATGTTTTCCGTATACCCGGCACTGCCCAAGGTTGCATATCGTCAACTCATGGTGTGATATCCAAGCCATGTTGCTTGGAAGGATGCACATCTTGAACTCTTGTCTGGGAAGGGACTGCGCATTGCAGGATCACTTGCTTTCTTGTCCCTTACGAACACTTTGTTCTGTCCATGTCCTTGACTCAGGATGCGCAGCTGCAGCCGAGCCCCTTCACTCACGCACGTGGCTTCCGTCCATCAGTCCTGCCACCCTCAAACTCCCAAATGAGCCCAACTCAGATGGTGTACCCTGGCCTGCCCGGCCAGTCCCCTCCTGTGCAGCCCCACCCTGGCCAGTCCCCTCGTGGTCAGCCCCACCCTGTTCCGCCCCCTGCCCAACCAAGAAACCCAAATTTCATGTCAAGGTACCAGGCACTGAGGGATTAACGGAAATGTTGGCTTCCAGGATGGCGACCTGATGGTCGCTCAGTACAGTGCATCAAGGGATTTGTATGTGGCGCTGGGCGTTGTCTTTGTTGGTCGTGTGGACTGAGTCTCCCAAAGGCATCCTTTGCGAGTTTTTGCCGATCGATGCTCTTCTGGTCGATCTGTTTCCAGTCCTGATCTTGGGGTTGGTTGCCCTTAGGGGCATGCTTTGAGCGGGCAAGGGTGACAGGTGGGACAAGTGAAAAAGACGTTACTGGCTCTGCCATGTCTTATTCAGGAGATGCTTGATTTCCTCAAGAGCTGATTTCACTGATCAGAATGGTGGGGATGATCAAAAATGCGATTGACAGCGCTGCATGTGGGCATCGGTGTTCAACATGGGGGAAGGATTGGGCTGGACGCCCTTCGTGATACACCAACAGCTGTGTTTGTGCAACAGCGCCGTCACATCTGATTTGGGACCGTGCCCAATAAAGAGCAAGCTGTGCAGTGATTCGTAGGTTTGGCTTCAGGTGTGTGCATGGGGAGACCCAACCTGGGTGGGAGGTGACAGGCAGCCAGGATGTATGTTCAGATTCTGCGGGCGAAGGGCAGGTAGGTGTAGAACAGAACCATTGATGCAGGCAGGGGTATTAGAAGACTTGCAAGAGGCGTTCCCGTTTCTGTTGTGCAGTAACTTGTTTTGGTTAAGGGCAATGCTGGCCGCAGTCCGAAACTTGCGGTGACGAGTAAATGGGGGCGAGGTGGCAAGAGCATGCAGGACAATATGAGGCGAAGGCTCAGCCCTTGATTCTGGGCCGCCTTTCCCGTATGCGCTGATGACGACGCCTCGATCTCGAAGCCCCGTGGTGGTTGTTGTAATTGGCTTGATGTCGCTTGTTGCACGTGCAAATCGTCGTCCAGCCAGCTCAATCCATGGCAGACTTGGGCAGTTCTCAGGCCAGAACCCACGTTCAGCGCCTAATCTGGCCTTCCATGCCAAACCCGACCGTTGCGAGTGCCTTGCATCAGAGAGTTTTGCACTGATATCGATGTGCAGTGATCTGAAGAGCGAACGGCACCCAATCAGGAGATGCTTCTTGGAACATGATCTGCCAGTTTGAATGGGATGCGCACCGGAGACGCCCAGCCTCTTATTGGCTCGCATGAGCACAAGCTGCCCCGTCTGAATATAGAAATGTTGTCGAAGAATTGCCAACCTGGGTCATGCTGAACGCAAAAGGTTGCAGTAGGTCTTGTGTCGATTGTGAACAGCTCCGCTGCGAGCTCAGGACCGGCCCGCAATGGAAACTGCAGTCAGGCTAGTGGGCAGACTGCAGCGCACACCCGAATGCCAAAGTGCCAACAAGAAGTGACAGGCATGCAAACGCGTGTTTCCGTACGCAAACAGGGACGACTCGCAGGAATGGTCGCAGAACAGGTGTGGTAAGCGCTCTGAAAGATTGTCACGGGGAGTCGATCAGCAGTTTCAATCCCAGAAATGCGTGTGACCTGAAAATACCAGACAAACAACACCAGGTGACCGAGCGATTTTCGATACAGCACTCATCCAATGTTTGTCATTCTCGCCAGGCGAGAATGCTGTCAAAAGACCGCCAAGGTGACACAATTTGGTCCCATTTTACCAAGATGTTGAAACATTTGAGAGCAGTCAGAACTGCGTGAAAAGCGAAATGCATTGGCGGTGAAGCAACACTGCAACGGTCAAACGATCGTGACAACGGAAAAGCAACACAAAGCTGCTGCCCCAATCGCAACACCCCTGCCACACCATTGTCGCTTAGCCACCTTGTTCTATGCAGTGCGCCTACAGTTCTTCAAACTGGAGCATGCGCCACGACACCTGCCTTGTCTTTATTCACAGTTTCCTTGAGCGTTTCGCGGAGTCCATTCGAGATGTCGACATCATCTTTGTTCTCGCCGTTCATCTTGGTCCCCCCACCCTCGTGGTCGTGGTTCACCTCTCCGCTCCATCCATAGTAGGGTCCATTCGCGGGGCATGTCTCGTGATCCCAGAATGCGCCGCAGTAAGCAACAGTCCCTGGCACATGCCTACCGCAACACCACCGGCACGGGCTTTGCCGAGTGCAGATGGATCCCACAATGCGAAATGGCATCCAGCGAAAGCTTGCCTTCGATGGTGTCTTCCCTTGGCGAAGCGATTGCGCTTTCTGCAGAGACTGAGTCCCCCAATTGCACTGGCAGCCCAATTGATGGCTTGCTCCAAGCCATCGTTGGTGCCTGGCGCACCAGCGTGGTCAGCGACCACGCTTGGGGGCAATAAACGAAGCACCTCGCAGTGCTCCAATCTGCCCCCTTCGGGAAGCTCCAAAGCACCCGAGCACATGGGCCCCAAGGCTTCCCATGGTATCTAACTGAAGAACATGTTCTTGGGAACGATCACTAACCTCCTTGAGAATTTCAGAGGGCATTGATCTTTACCAAGAACCTGTTCCTCAGAGATCTGACTATTGAGGGCCCTCCGGAGAGGCCTTCATGGGGAGATTGGCAAGATGCGTGTCTCCGAACTGGCCAACTATTCAACCCGGGGAACCACTGGGGTCGGTGGTGCTCCTGGCTTGTGGTTCCACAGGACCGCGATGTCCTTGTCGTGATTGTTGCGCGCACGCATGTGGTCCACGCAGATGCATCTGAGATCATTTTTTCTGCCACACCATTGACCAGCAACGAGGCTGGTCACAAAACCAAGCGGAACTCACAAGTATAGCCAGACTGCCGTGAGCACCACGCCGCCCACAAGAAGCGTTTCACGAGACCCTCAACTTGGCATTGTGCAATTTGCAGAGCTGGGAGTTGAGCACGAGCGTCAAAAGGACGAAAACAGCATCGCACAATGCGGGCGCAACCACGTGTCTCACAAGAGCCTGCCCTACCCCCTAAACCCCAAAACCAAAACCTAAACCTACCCTAACCCTAACCTTGAAACTCAACCTCAACCTAAACCTAACCTTAAACTGTGTGAGGACCTAGTGTGCACGTGACAAGCAGTCTCCGATTTGGTGCAGGCAGTAACGTTATTTCCATCACTGCAAACTCTGGCTGGTCCGTGGAAATGACTCAGTCAGTGTCCATCGCCTTGCTCCCCGTTGCCTTTTGGCATTGCCTGCAATGATGACTGCTCAAGCCATCCCTCGCAAATGTACAGCCGCACTCACGACCGCCGCCCATCGTCCGCCCTGATCACGAACGATCCACCCGGAGAAACGCCGGCAATTATGCATCCCCATGACCACTGCGCATTGAGCCACCGAACCACCCGAACGTACACCCAAACGCGCGACCAACCTGTGGCGGCAACGCACACTGGGAGGTGGCGTGCAAGCACGTTTGCCTGACAATCGTCGGGCTGTCGTCCGACCCTCGTCCGCTGGCCATTTCCTGGGTGACTCAGCCATCCCCCCTTTGCGATGCGCCCAACAAGTTGCACGATCTCACGTGCATCCCAGCGTCCCCTCGGGTGCGCCCAGTCTTCCGCCGCCCGACCCCGCTGGCCTTAGTCACCCCGCCCAACTGGGCGGCATAGAAATGCGGCACGGCCAGACACGGGCGAGCGCGTGGCGCAGCAGCGGCAGAGAGCCGTTCGGGCACGGGGTGCCGCCGCAGAGGCCCCAGCCGCCCGCCGCGCGCCGCGGCGCGACGCCCCCTGTACCGGCAGAGGCTGATCATCATGGCGGTGGAAGTTATCCCAGGTGGGGGTCGATCGGCGCGATCGTCGCGGGCCTGGCCGGGCCAGATCGGTGGCCGAAGCTGTCAGGCCTGGCGCGGGATCGGGCCGGTTGCTGTGGCACGAAGAGCGGGGGCCCGGTTGGAGATGTGAGTGGGCACGGCGCCGGCGATCCGGATGGGATGCGCCCGTGGGTCAGTGCGGCGTTGCAGATGTGGCCGTCGCCGACTGCGCTCGCTGATTGTGGGAAAGGGCGGAGCGTGTGTGTGTGTGTTGGGAATTTGCGTCGACGTGCGAAGTTCGGAGATCGTGGGCGTTTGTGCGAGTGCTCGAAGGGGAATGATGTGGATGGGGGATTGCGAGCCGCGCCGGCTGCGCAGCTGCGAACGGCTGCCCTGCCGCGCGGAGGTCACACGACTGCCGCGGTCGAGGCTTTGGCCTTGCACGGGAAATTTGTTCCGAGTTTGCGAGCACGCCAGTTTTGAGCATCCCTGTTCCCGTTTTGCCGACGGACGGGGGGGCGTACAGGTGTTGCGGGGTGTTCCTCGGCCTCGGGGGCGCCGGTGCCGCGGCGCAGCGGCGGTGGCGCTCGTTGAGCTGCTTGAGTTCGCTGCTGCCGCAGGACTGTATTTGGGCAGCATCGAGTCGCTGGACAGTCACGTGCTGAAGGAGCGGAAAATAACACATGTGCTGGTGAGTGCGAAACCCTAGCACGGGCCCGGAGCAGTGGGATTCGCGCCGGCGGCCCGTACGGCGCATTGGGACGCTCGCGGTGCTCGCTCTGGGGACGCGAGAAAGGCCACTCGCGCTGGGGGCCAAGTCGAACTCTGCGCCCGGCGCTGCGGGCGCTGGCGCAATGATGGGGATGATGACCTGGACCTTGCCACGACGCAACGAGTTATGGCCCGGCGCAAAGCCCTGAACTGCAAAACAGTGGGCTCGTCGGTGTCGTTGCAGACCGCTTTTGCCCATCGGTGGCCTTGTTTGTTGTCGGTCTGCGATTGGCGCAATCGGGGGGCGCACGGGGCGGTCGGGATTCATTTTATCGTATTTTGGAAGAGGCCCTGAGACTCTGTTCTCTGTTGCTGGGAAAGATGATGTGGTTGCTGTGCATTCCGCGCAGTGTTTTGTGTTATCATCCTCCCTTGAGAGAACCTGGAACTTGTACTCCGGGAACGTAGATGATGTACCTGGGCGATGGAAATGCAGCAGTATGGGCACCCGGCCAGTACCCTATTTGGAGCTTCAGCACGCCACGCAGCGTATCCACCGTATGTTTATCGCGTTCTCAACATCCTTCATAGCCTTCGACACA